CCCACCCCCACCCCCTGTGTGTGTGTGTGTGTGTATGCATGTGAAATAAGGACCCCTCATTTAAGTACCTGGCCTAATCCCTGCATTACAAAATGGCCTCTGACCCCCTTAGCTTAGCTACCTGGAGTCAGTAGCTGTTCTCAGAAATCATATACATGTGAATAATAGGATGTGAAATTATAACTTTACTGTGTCAGCTTCTGTAATTGTACTTTGCCTCAGTTTACCCTGCACCAATAGAAGCCCAGAAAAACCCAAGAGTTCCTCTAAAGGCCCCATAGTTCCACTTCCCTTATAGGTAATCTCTGCCCAGCAACAGTAACAGGATATATCTAGTTAATACTTAAAAGTTGTACTAATAGTTAATAAGGTTAATATTCATATAATCCTGCTATCTTAGCTTCTGTAATAATGCTTTGCTAGGACTGAACACTTATCCTAACAAGAGACCCCAACCCAATAATAGAGGGGGCTGGGGTCTGAGAGACATTCCACCTACAGTTTTCAACATTACTTGGGGATCTTTCCACCTAGACATGTCTCCCATGCTTGGAACTTCCTCATTTGGATCTGTTGTTAGTTTCTGTATAACGCAATAGAATTTTCTGCCTCAATGTACCTTTGTGGTTTTTGCCTTTATAAACCCTGCCTAACTTCCTCTCGGGGCTGCGTGGTCTTTAGAGGCATTAGTCCCCTCGTAGTCGCGGTCTTTACAATAGACTCCCTCAATTGGCTTAACTGGTATCATTGTCTGCCTGACTCACGAGCTTTGCTTTACAACACATGCGCGTGTAATCTTTTATTTCTTGTGAGTGATTGCCATAATTGTATTCATGGATATGGTGGTGACCAAAGGAAGTGGTAAAATAGAAAGTGATGGATGTTACCAGAGGGTAAGGGGGGAGAGGGGTGGTAGATGAGGGTAAACGGGATCAAATATATGGTGATGGAAGGAAAACTGACTCTGGTGGTGAACACAATGCGATATATAGATGATGTATTACAGAATTGTACACCTGAAACCTATGTAACTTTACTAACCACTGACACCCCAATAAACTTTAATTAAAAAAAAAGTGATGGGCATGGGTTTCATGTAGGATTTCACTAAATCAACTACTACTAGATTTTACTGGAAAGCTAGGTCAGGTGCTGAAGGAAAAAAATGTATATATATAAAGGTAGAGAAAATGAGAACTGAAGAAATTGAGTTGAAATAATATCTAAGTATTTAGAGTAACTTTACAATTTGTTTATTTTCACAATTGAAGCAAGTAGTCATTTTATCATTTCTTTCCTGAAAATTTCTCTAGTTCTTTACTATTAGTAATATTTATCCCCCGCCCCCTTGTTTTGGAAGGGAGTAAAGCTGGTGGATAGGAAAAGGTTGATTTTTTTTTAATAGATGAGAGAGAAGATATGAAAGCATAAAAGAGAATGAATAGAAATGACAGTATATTGCCCCTTTCAGGCTGTTGGAATGAACCACAGATTAAAGTGTTTTGCCACTAGGAATAGAGCTTTGTTTTTTTTTTTGTTTGTTTGTTTTTTTAGAGATCCTCAATTTTTGGTTAGATAGAGAGTTGAGATATTTGTTTTCACAGCAGCTCTGAAGACAGAGGAGCAGAAGCCATTTTCATCTTAAATGGGAAATTAAAATGACAAATTTAATTTATTATTTAATAATTTAATTATTATGTAAGTTATTCAAAGTAGCTAATCAGTAGCAAATTTGGGGGTAAATTCTAGTTTATTCCGGTGTTACATCTAATAGTAGCTGCACTTGAATTAAAATAACATTTAATGATGATTTTATTCACTTCTGTTGTTTAATATAGAAAACACAGACATGTTTATTGGAAACACTTGAAACTAGTTATCGGAAATTTGATTCTAAAGCAACTCCTTCACAAAATGTATCTCAAAACTTCACACCAGCTGATCATGGCAAATCCAAAGATAAAAGAGACTGTCCATGGACACCTGCCAGAAGCACTTTATCTACACCATTACCAAAGGTTGGTTGCAAAAATTTCAAAAAAAGTAGTAATTTTTTTAATTAAAAAAGACAGCTCTGGTATCATATACCATATATCTAGTATCAGACATAGAAAACCAATTTCTTGAAAGTTTCAATTTTTTGTGATACCAGCATGAAATGTTTTTTGTTTGTTTGTTTTATCACTGTCCACAACTTGATGGCATCTTGGGCAGGTTCCATAACTTTCTAGCCTTCACCAGTGTTTAGGTTCCTGATGTGGGAAATATGATTCTGACTTGACATTTTCCACTCTTATCCTAGTTACCTCCGTCTGCTGTTTATTACATATCATCTTGCTGCTGGATCCTTTACTTAGCATTCTGCTCTTGTAGAGCAGAGGTTGCTATCAAAGTAGCTCAGTTCTAGCTGTCTTCCACATGTCCACTTAATCCATGGGAAATTCGTTCAACCTTTCCATGATAAGTGGCAGTGAAGAATGCTCCCCTTCTTGAAGGCACTCCTAATCTTTACAAGGCTGCTGTTAGAGTTGTCTTGGGAGTTGAGAGGAAAATTATCTCCACCTGTCTCTACCCGTCTAAGATGAAATTTCATGCCTTCCCCTCCCAGTTTTTTTAAATAACTGAGAAGAAGGGAGTTGTTTGGTGATTGTAGGGCCTGCTTTTACCACCTTTTAGTAAAACCTAGAGAAGGATCTGGACTTAATCATAGGTTGCTTCCTTTAGAATATGGGTTACTAACACTTTCCCCCTCAGCTTTTTGCCTCCATTGATAATTCCAGAGCACAAGGAAGAGTCCCACTCACATCCTGTTATATCTATGTTGTTCACCTCATGAAAATTATGAAAATTAGTCTACATAGCTTAGAGAAGCTTTTATATAAAGTTATTTTGTTGTATTTACTACATTATTCAGAATATGAAATGATCTCTATTAAAGAATGACCTTACTTTAAAAAATCCTTTTATTGAAATATATGCACAGATCTTAATTATACAAGTTGATGAATTTTTATAAACCACACATAACTTTATAACCAGCACTCAGATTAAAACATGGAGTATTACTGTCACCTCAGAAGAGCTTCTTATTCCCGCTTTTGGTCACTAACCCTGCCCCAAGGCCAACTGTTTTCCCAACTTCTAATATTAGATGTACTACCTGTTTTTGCATTTTCTATAAATAGAATTATATAATTTTTGTTTTGACTTTTTTCACTTAATATTGTGTTTGTGGGATTCATCCATATTATTGTTTGAAGTTGTACATTTTTTATTTTTATTTCTAGTAGATAGTATTCCATTGTGTGTCTACACCACAGTTTAATTAACTATTGTATTGTTAATGGGTAGTTTCTAGATTGGGCTGTCTGAATAGTGTTGCAATAAGAATTCTAGTACTTAACATATGCATTCTAGTACTTTACATGTTGGTTGGTTATGTCCCTAGGAGTGAATTTACTGGGTTATAGGCTTATGCATAATATGTTCAATCTTAATAGATAATACTGCCTGAGCTGTTTTTACTCTGCTACAAAATGTGTGTGTGTGTGTGTGTGTGTTTGTTTCCCACACGAACCTTTCTCCAACTCTCCAGATACCAACTGGGTGTCATACGATTTGATTAACTTCTAACACTATCTGGAGTTAATGTAGACCCCACAGATTAAGAACTCAGTCCCATAGACTGCCCATACTTCAGATGCCAGTCACAGTTCTGGCTTGCCACTTGTACTACCAACAAACTGGCTATAAATTGGGGCTCTCTATAATTTGGTTCAGTAATTTGCTAGAATGACTCACAGTTTTCAGGAAATTACCTACCGTATTTGCCGGCGTATAAGACGACTGGGCGTATAAGACTACCCCCTAACATTTCCACTCAAAATACAGAGTTTGTTATATACTCGCCGTATAAGACTACCCCCTCTTCCGCACACCTTCCACACACCAAATAAAA